TGGCGCTTGAGGGCGTCGTGTGGGCGTGCGCAACTTCAGTTGATTTTCCTTTCGACTCAATTGCAGCCGGCGAAATGTTTATTATTTTCAGCTTTATTTGCGGCTGCTGCGTGGGTTGTTCTCAATTGTTTGAATGATGATTGTGTCAATATTGTTGCTGTTGCCTGTTTATTAGGGACAGGTGCGTCATAATGCTGCTTATTACGACAACGCGCATATTTTGCCTCTTGTATCTTATTACGTGTCTCATTTGCCAGCATTTGCGCCCACACACACACACACACACACACACACACACACACACACACACTCAAAGCGAAAATATTCCAATTTTCGGGCCAGTGCGTTCCCAAAAACAGGCCAATAACTAGATATAATTATTATTATTACTCGTTCGAACTCATATAAAGCTGATAATAAAAACAAGTTAAACGCAGCTACGTAGCGTCGAGCATTTGGGCCCAGTTGGAAGCAGAGGCTGCTGCCCGGATATAAATATCCATTTCAATTGTGGGCTTAGCTTCAGTCTGAAGCGCACTAACTATCTGACTAATTATGGTAATATAAATGATTTAAATATTTGCCAAATATTGTGATTAGCAAGAGAATAAGAAGTCTTTGAATTCTTTGAATTCTATTCGATTTACGCTTCTCTTTCTAAGCGCAAAAAGCGTTGCCAGCAAAATCGGGACGAGCTGTAGGATGACTTTTGATGTCTTTAGTTTCGTTCTTGCTAAGCTCAGGTTTCTCTCTTTCCGTCGCTCTACCCCTTTTATTGCCTCTCCCAAACGCTTTTCTCAAAGTATCAATCAACTCGAATTGACCTTGATGCACAGTTTGTCCACGGAATAAATTTGCTTCTTATAGTTAGTATACACAGCTCGTTGGGTCACCTTTAAGTTATGCGTGAACAGCGAAAAGAAAACAAACACGAGACCCAAACATGGGCCATATTTCGAAATGCATGGAAGTAATTAAATCTGAAGCTTATGGTTGAGCACACGCAAGGAAAACAAACCACAAATAGAAAAAGGAAATATATTTTCTTTTGTTGATTCTCTTGATTCAATTTTAGCCCAACAAAATGTGTGTGTGTGTGTGTATTTGTTATGCAAATTGGCTTCGATTTTGCGCGGTTTGTCGTGTGGGTCAAGCGGCTGCAACAGTTGTGACATTGGAAACATTGAGAGCAGCGTTCCAGTCGAGCGCTTTCCAGCCCTGGAAGTCTTAAATGTGTTGCCTACTTTGCTGCGCTCGCTTGGAACCGAGCCTGGAACGCTTCGACAGCTGCAACTGTGCCACAATCTAAGTCTTAGTCGACAACAACAAGAATAAGAACAAGCACAAGACTCTTAAATAAATAGAGGCCATAAAGGAGAATTGGTTAGGTCGACGTTTGTTAACCGGCAACTGTCTCTGGGAAGTAACATTCCCAGAAGATTGGAAGTGCTTTACTGGAAAGCGTATTTGTGTGGCAACGAAAAACCGCCGCCAATTAGCGTTGCCAAGCATTCGAAATGCCAACTACAGTATTTGCATTGCATTTCCATTTTTGGTGGCATTTCTGTCAGTTGGCAACATTTGTTCGCAAAAAAATTGAAATTGAGTTCCCTTCAAATGAAAATTAATTAAATTTGCAATATGAACGTCGTGTTTAAAAATACGTACACGCACAAAAAAAAAAAAAAAAAAAAACAAAATAAATAAAATTGCGAATCCCTAATGAGGCCGCAATTGAGAGGCCGCAAAACGTGGGAGTATCATTTTCATAATGCCTGTTTTATTATTAGAATGCGTAAAAAAGTCCACATTAACTGGCTAAAAGGAAAAAATGTAAACGGAAAACAGAATACAGAAAACAGAAAATATCTGATGTTCCACGAAAAATGCAGTGAGTGCATTAAAAAAAAAAAAATAAATAAATCTGCTCAAAGGAATTCCAGTTAAATTGTGGTTTAATTTTATACTGTTGTCGTGGGCGTAGCTCGTTGTGCTGGATACACTTGTGTAGGTGTTGCTCCTGTGATTATGACAGTTGCTATTGCAGCTGACCTTAATCTCCGTGCTTACCTGTGTGGCCACAAACAAATATACCTGTACATACGTAGCTGCGTGCACATTGAGAAGCGCCGAGAAGGGCGCGCGCGCCTGAGATTGGCCAATAAACTAGGTATAAATGGCGTTGACACGGATACAAGCTGGAAACGGTCGGGCCAAGTGGGCGGCATTTGGGTGGTTCTCGTCGTCGTTGTCGTTCTTTTTATTTTTATTTTCTTTTCGCAACTGAGAAATGGCCGCAATGAAACGTTTTCACACACAACGCAACTGGGTGAAGGTTGTCTCGCGGCAGACATCATCAGCGAGCAGCAGCAGCAATAATTTCGTTTGATTCGCCAAGATTCTTCTTGTTGTTGTTGTTGTTGTTAATATTACACCTAATTTAACATGCACACACACACACACAAACTGGCACAGCAGCAGATTCGCGCGAATTGCGGCATGCACCCACGCACAATGTTGCATGAGTCAAGTCACATTTCATTTGCCGCCTGCTTTCACATTGCACTTACAAGTTTTTTCCAATTGATCTGTGCCGGAAGCTATTTCCAATGCCACGAACCCAGCGAAAATGGTTAAGGAAGAGGCTGTTGCTGGCAATTGGCAAGTTTAGCTGCAAGCCACAAGGAGACGCCTCCAATTCGGCAGAGCATATCTATTCTTGAGTCGATCTATCGATATGTCAATCTCAATGGCTTTAAAATTTGAAAATCATAAAACTTTGTATATCGTAGATGATGTCGAGTTTATCGATTAACGCACGATATCGATACACAGAAAGAATGTCGATAGATAACTTAGCTCAATGACAACAGTTTGAGAATATTTCAAATAGTCTCAGAAAACGGTTTTTAGCACTTCAATGAAGAGTTTGCCTAAAGAATCGAAAGGTGAAATCTTTGTAGGCCATGCTATTTGAAAAAATCAATATTTATTTCTTGACGTGTTTTGTGTTCATTTGTATAAGAAATACCTAAACAAAACAAAAAAAAAAAATTCAATTTCCTTTCCGTTCGTGCCGTTAAGTGCTTTGTGCGAAGACCTAAAGTTTATTAAAGTAGCTCCAAAAAAAAACACCAAAGAAACTTGAAACCAAGTAATAAAAATTATAGAACAATCAAGAGGTTCACTCGTTTAATGGAACGCAAGAAACTTAGTTCAAGCATTTTTTTTTTCGATACACAGTTTTCCCTTAACTTAGATTTGATGCCTTTAAGTTCTAATATTGTGCATCTTCTAAAGAGTTATTGAATATCCGAAAACTAGCTTGTTCTGTTTTTGGTGGCCGATTTGAGTTCTCCAGATGTCCCAATTTATCCAATTCCTTTGCCTGTTGCAAACATTTGAACAGCTCTAGTCCAGCTTATTCAAGGGGTTAGGGGTATTCAATAAAACGTTTACTTTAAACTGATTTCCGATCCTTTTTATACCCCTAGTCGGGAGCTCCCAACTAGAACCTTTTACTTGTTTATGCTTTTTTTCTATAACATGACATCCTACGGTGAATATAGAGTCCGCGCCTTATGAACAATTCTATTTTTATACCCAGAACCCATTAAAAATGGGTATAAGAGTATTTGTGCAAAATCCAAATGTATGCGACAGGCAGAAGGAAGCATCTCCGACCCCATAAAGTATATATATTCTTGATCAGCATCAAAAGCCGAGTCGATCTAGCCATGTCCGTCTGTCTGTCCGTCCGTCCGTCCGTATGTATGTACGCAAGGATCTCAGAACACATAAGAGCTATAGACTTGAAATCTTAGATGTAGGTGCTCCTAGGGCCTGCGCTGATCGCGTTTGTTTCCGATAATCGATAACTTACTCCATTTCCAAGCAATCGGTAAAATCGATATCGATATCCTGTTTTTTGGGCAATTTTGGTAAATAATAAAAGCTAGAGTTACGAAACATGATATGTTGCTTCTAAAATACAATATATATATGCATTTGATGTTGTAAGAAGAGGGTTCAGGGTATCCCCTAGTCGGGAGCTCCCGACTAGAACCTCTTACTTGTTTATCAACTAACGTAATTGAATTCCGCTTGCAACAGTGGAAAATTGGTGAAAATCTTTTGTATGCACGTTTTTACTCTTCCATGATTTCCCTAAGAATTCATCTGATACGCAAATCACACTTTTCGTCAAATCCACGCACCATTCGGTGGTGAAATTGAATTGAATTTATTTTTCCCAAGCTCTACATCAAAACTGATTGATGTATATTGATTGAATACATGTTCAACCATAATTTTTAACAGTCTAACGTGCAAAGTTTTTAGCAACTAACATCATCTGGTTTTTCAACTTCATAAAAAATTTAATAAATTGTGAGTCTCAATACGCTGAATGTGAATGTGAATGTGAATGTGATAGATTGTCCAAAATTGAGTGCACGCTGAATGGAAATGCCGCTTCAAGGTTATATGGAAAACATTTTCAATTTTCACGCCAATGGCAAAACATTTGCTTTTGGGCCTAGCAAAGCCGGCTAATACCCGCCAGTCACATTTATACTTATATAGATGTACATTATGTACAGGTTGTATATATATATATATATATGTGTGTGTGTGTGTGTGTGTGTATATGTGGGCCGCTGTCGACTAGCTGACCTTAGCGTGTGTCGCAGCTACAAAAACCTCATTATAGCCACACACAACACACACACACACACACACACAACACACTTACACAATAATGTCAATTAGAATATGTTTATATATATTTATAAGCTGTAATTTGCTGCCTAATTGAGATTCAATAGTTGTTTTCTCTGGGCACAGACAATATTATTTTTTTGTAGACAATATTTTGTTGTGAAAATGCTTGTATTTTTGATATACTTTAAACAAATTAACTGAGAAAAAAAGGGTAATATTTTGAATAATTGATTTTTCGCTTTGGTTTCGGTTTCGGTTTCTTTTTCTCTATTGTAAAGGGCGGTTATCCGGCACGGCTGAAAAAGGTGCTGATTGTGACGGCGCCGCTGTGGTTCAAGGCGCCCTTCAAGATACTCCGCCTGTTTGTGCGCGAGAAGCTGCGCGAGCGGGTGTTCACCGTATCGGTGCCGCAGCTGAGCCTGCACGTGCCGCGCAAGGCGCTGCCAGTGCATCTTGGCGGCACGCTGGAAATAGATCACGCCACATGGTTGCTACATTGCCGCAAATCGATGACGAATCGTGAAGACGAACTGCTTGCCAATATTGTGGGTGTGGCTGTGGGTGTCGGTGTGGGTGTGGGTGTGAGTGGATCTCTCGCCGCACCCTCAACAACAACAACAACAACAACCGCAACAACAGCAACAACAGCAACTGGAACGACATCAGCTGCAACTGCAACCACGACAGCGTCGCCGCTCAGCAACGGCAGCGCTGCGGCGTCAACAATTATCAGCGCCGTGCACCAGTTGGCCGAGAACAACACAACGGTTGTGACAGTCAGCGGCGAGCAGAGAACGGAACTCGGCGCCTCGAGCGCCGCCAACGACGAGTCGGAGCCCAACGAGAACATCACAATAAACGGACTAAGTCCGAGTCACCGGACAGTTGCCAAAGCTCCCGCCCACGCCGCCGGCGCTGGCAACACGGGCAACGCGAGCAACGCGCTGCTCAAGCTCAACACAACCGGCATACAGCTACAGCAACAGCAGCAGGAGCAGGAGCAGAACCAATCGAACGGTGCTGCTGCCGCCGCTGAGCTTGGCCCAGTGTCAACGGCAACAACGGCAGCCGCGGCTGCTGGCAGCGCCGGCGGTGGCGGTGGCGGCGGCGGCGAATTCTGGTCGGAAAATCCGCCGAGCAGCGCCTCATCTGGTTTCAGTGACGACGACAGCCTGGCCGGGCAGGAGGGTGATCCCAAAACGATTGAGCAAATCGTTCAAATGGTGCGCGAACGCTGCCGCCATGGCCTGATCAAAGAGTATGCGGATATACGGAATCGGGCGCCCGAGGGCACCTTTCTGCATGCACGGTAAGTAGTCACACGCAATCGAATCGAATAACCGAGATTTAACAATCCGTTCCCATTTGCATTTGCAGCATGCGCAACAATTTGACCAAAAATCGTTACACAGACGTCCTCTGCTATGATCACAGTCGTGTCGTGCTCGCCCGCGAGGATGACGACGAGCTCTCCGACTATATAAATGCGAATTTCGTCGATGGCTATAAACAGAAGAACGCCTATATTTCAACTCAAGGTGAGAGCTCATCAAGCGAATCGATGTGCTTCCTACGGCTTCTCCGACACGCGCACCTACATAGAGAGAGAGAGAGAGAGACAGAGAGAGAGAGAGAGAGGGTCAACTATTATTATACTAAATACTCTAGAAATAGAAAGGGCATATTGTTTATGTGCAAATGTAGGTAGAAGCAGAAGCAGGCATCTCCAATCCTTAACTTTCAATTAGATTATATAGCTTCGACTTGCCTTTCGATATTCCATTATCGATAAATATCGAGTGTGTGTGTGTGAGAGAGAGAGACAGAGAGAGAGCTGACTAATTTGTGGCTTAACTTTGGCTTGCAGGTCCATTACCAAAGACATCCCAGGACTTTTGGCGCATGATCTGGGAACAACATTGCTTAGTTGTAGTTATGACAACGCGCGTCATGGAGCGCGGACGTGTTAAGTGCGGCCAATACTGGGAGCCGACTGAAGAGAGTTCCTTGGAGTTTGGCAATTACCATGTGCGAACAATTAGCGTCGAGTGCAATGAGGATTACACCGTTGCATCCCTAGAATTGAGAAACCTAAAGGTCAGTCGTCGTTATATCCCTCTCTCGCTTCGCGTCTCTATTCGTTCTTGTGTCATCAAAAAAAAAACGAATTCTCTCGCCCGCAGACTGACGAAATTCGCAATGTGTCACATTGGCAGTTCACCAGCTGGCCGGATTACGGCGTGCCCAGCTCTGCAATGGCCATGCTCAACTTTTTGCAAAAGGTTCGCGACAAGCAGGCAGAGCTGGTTCGCGCCCTCGGCGATACCTGGGCTGGTCATCCACGCGGTCCGCCCATTGTGGTGCACTGCAGCGCAGGCATTGGACGCACGGGTTAGTATTCCAACATATTATATGACAATCAATCTATCCATATGCATTAACTGACTGACGATCACGCTGTAAGCTCAAATATTTACTGTCGAATCCACTCGCAATTGTGGAAAATTTGCGGAAATTCGTTGTACGACACTGTTTCATTTAGGCACCCAATCGGCAATTAGAACTCGCAATTAAAGATATTTAAGAAACTGCATTTGTAATATCCACCATTCGTGTGGTAACTGAGCCGAAGAAACCGCACGCAACTGTGATTTTTGCAATATTCACCCTTTCCTGTGGAATATGCGTGACAAAGGCTGTTTGGGGGCGAAAGATGAATTTTTGGCCTCAGACTCATAGCTCTACGATCTAATTGATTGATATATTGATTACCGCCATGTTTTCTTATGTTAATTGTTTCGTTTTTGATCAGGCACCTTCATTACGCTGGACATCTGCATATCGCGTCTGGAGGATGTCGGCACCGCGGACATACGCGGCACCGTCGAGAAGATACGGTCGCAGCGCGCCTACTCCATCCAAATGCCGGATCAATATGTTTTCTGTCATTTGGCGCTCATCGAGTATGCGATCTCGCGCGGCATGCTCCAAACGGTCGACTTGGCGGGCTTCGACGAGCGGGAACAGGACTCCGAATAGGCATTGACACCCAATTGAAACGCAGCCGCAAGGAATACATATTGTATACAGATTACTTATATTTTGGTCA